TTTAAGCGGCAATATCTTCCCTTCAAATAAAATTTAACAGTGGTCTCCAGCATATAAAACAGATAAAATGGCATCTATTTAAGCAATATATTTTTCAGTTTACATTGGTAACAATGTAGTCATTTAATAAGAATACAATTTAACCAGTACAATTTTCTAGTATATAAACATTGTTATTTGTAACACACTAAAGTGTGCATACCACTTAAACTGAAATACAAGTGACATTTAAAAATTAATATTTCAGAATAGAACCAGGAGGCAAAGGGCATTTATAGAGGTCTAAATACAGACATGTACATATGTAAATATATTTATATACAACAATAGGGAAATAGATCCATGTACATAGATTTATATGTTAAGTATTAAAATAGCCGACGACAGACACTGGGCCTCTACTCAAGTGTTCCCTCAATGCAAGAACACTTTGTTCTAATAATCTGGTATTCTGTGATGCTCACCTTCCCAACAAGATCGTTAAAGACAAAATGGTTGCATAAGAAAATGTGATGAAGAAGGTTGATGGTGCCCGGCTTTCAAAAGATTTAGCATCTGGGGTCTTAAAGGCTTGAAGATAAACAAGCAGCCATCTACCTGAGAAGCATCAAAGTCCACATGGAAGAAGCACACAAGCCTGTGTGATCACGAGGTGTTTATGGTATCGGTAAAAGGCATCAAAGACCCAGAACAAAAAAATCATATCAATGTGAATGAGGGGGAGCATGGAGTGGAGACCCAAAGCCCATCTGTAGACTGTTTGACAGCCCCTCACAGAAGGGTCACAAGGAAGAGACGAGCCAGTCAGGGTACAGTGTAGCACTGTTGAAACATACAATGGTGCTATACTTTCTTCTAGTTTCTTAATGTTTCCTCCCCCCACTATCATGATCCCAATTGTACCTTACATATCCAGCTGGACCAGAGCATGTACATGGGTACAGATAAGGGCTGGAAACACAGGAAATCCAGGACAGATAAACCCCTCAGGACCAATAATGAAAGTAGTGATACCAGGAAGAGAAGGGGAAGGTGGGAGAGAAAGGGGGAAATGATCACAATTATCTACATATAACTCCTTCCCAGGGGGACAGACAATAGAAAAGTGGGAGAAGGGCAACATCAGTCAGTGTAAGACATGAAAAAAAAAATTATCAAGGGTTCATGAGGAAGTGAGGGTGGAGAAGGTAGAGGGAAAAATGAGGAGTTGATACCATGTGCTCAAGTAGAAAGATGTTTTGAGAATGATGATAGCAACAAATGTACCAATGTGCTTGACACAATGGATGGATGTTTGTGTGCATAAAAGCTGTATAAGCACCCAATAAAATGATTTAAATAAATAAATGTTTCTACCAAATTGTGCAGAGCCTCTGAAATAGGTCACTTTATACCTCAGTTAGGTAGAAGATTCTTCAGGTAGCCTCAGCAAGAGAGGAAAATGACACTGAAATGAACCAAAGAACTTAAAAGTATGACCACTTTAGATGGAAGAAGCTTTGGAATTTGATCACATGAAGTTAGGGGGTCCAGGAAGATTAAAGAATCAAAGATGACTTACATGTGATGAAGTATCATTTTGTGTATGTCTCAGTGACTATCCATCACTCTTTTGCCAAATTCCAAACTCCCAGGGCTGATAAATTCCGCTCCTTTCAGACTCAACCTTGTATCACCAATTTACTTGGTCAACTTTCCTCTTTGGGTGCCAGCTCTAGTCATTAAGGATTTCAGGATCCTTTTCTGTGAGCCACCACGTGTTCTACTGACAATGCCCACTTTTCTTGGGATGACTGTACAACTAATTTATCATTTCTTGCTATTCGCCATTGAGTCAACTCTGACTTATGTGACTCGACGGGATGGACAGTGGCTAATTTTCCAAAAAGTTTCCAAAAAGATCACCAGGTCTTTCTTCTGAAATGCTTCTGTGTATACTTAAACTTTGAACCTTTGGATTAATAGTCAAATGATTTAACTCTGTGCAAGAGCCAGGGACTCATGAGGTTATTCACATGACTTGTAGTTCTATTCACAGGATTCTGTCATAAAGATTATTTGCTTAATCTCAGCTTCTGAAATATCTGACTTGTGATGTGCATCCAGTTGTCTGCTCCATGACTGCCAAATAAATAAATTTTATATTTGGCTTTAGATATGATAAGTGAAAGAACATTCAATAGGAAATATTACAGAATTGTTGTAAAAGTTAGTGTTTGTAATTTTGAGCCCGTTTCAATGAAAAGTGGTCTACCAGAATGCAGAAATTATCGAGTATTAAAAAATTCACACATGTAAAATTTTGCTGGAGATTATTAAGAAATAATTGCAACAGTTTATCCATTGTAAACCACCAAAGTTCAAACTAGACTAAGAAAAGGTCATGGGATGAGGGGTATCAGATGAGTATTGGCTGAAAGCAGAGAATATCAGAAAGATGCTTGTCTCTGTTTTACTGACTATTCAAAGGTATTCAACAGTGGAGGTCATAAAATATTAAGGATACAATGGCAAAGAATGGAAATTCTAGACTGTGTGTGTTTTTATGGAATCTGTACATAGACCAATAGGCAGTCAATAATAGAATAAGGACATATTCTGTGGTTTAAAATCAAGAAAAATGTGAATCAGGATCATATCTTTCCTTTTTCAATATGTATACTGAGTGAAATTTTGAGAAGCTCGAGTGTATAAAGAAAATGGGATCAGAATTGGAAGAAGATTCATTAGCAACCTGTTATATTTAGATGGCATAAGATTGCTTGCTACAAATGAAGAAAGCTTGAAGCCTTTGCTTCTGAAGATCAAATATTACAGTCTTCAGTGTGGATTGCATCTTAACATCAAAGAATGAAAAAAAATCCTTGGAAGTGGACCAATAAGCATAGAAATATTAAAGTTGTGACAGATTTCATTTTACTTGTATCACCATCAATATTGACTCAGAATCAATAGTTATGGAAGCAGCAGCCAAGAAATCAATGACATATGGAAGTGGGTAAATCTGCTGTAAAATGCCTCTGCGAAGTGCGGAAGAGCAACAATGTCACTCTAAAGACAAGCTTGCCCCTGACCCACACCATTGACCACCCCTGATCCACACCATTGAGGACAGGCTGGCCCCTGACCCACACCATTGAGGACAAGCTTGCCCCTTTCCCATACCATTGTATCTTCAATGGCCTGCTACACAAGCAAAAGGTGGGCTGTGAATAAGGAAGACTGAAGAATAGATGCCTTGGGATTCTGTGTAAATATGTTGTGAACACATCGTGGACTGCAAGAAGAATACGTGAGTCTGTCTTGGAAGAAATAGACCTAGAATATTCCTTGAAAGCGATGATGGTGAGACTTTATCTTATGTATTTTGGACACAATATCAAGAGGGCAAGGACATCATGCGTGGTAAATTGAGGAGCAACAAAAAAGAGGAAGACCCCTAACAAGATGGATTGATAAGTGTCTGCCGCAATGGGCTCAAACATAAGAATTTTGGGGGTGGTGCGGGACTGGGGAGGGGGTGTATTCTGATCTGTTTTTCAGAGGGTTCTATGAGGCAGAATTGAACGAACTGTTCTTAACAACAACAACAACCATCAGGAGGGAGTGTAAGGGACATGCTTGGTAAATTGAAGCTCAACAATAACAAGGAAGACCTTCGAGGAGATTGACTGAGAACAGTGAATGCAGTGGTGCTGTCAAACATAACACTGTTTGTAAGGCCCAGGCCCAGGCAGTCTTTCGTTCTGTTGTACATCGGATGGCTGTGAATAGGAACTAGCTCCGCAGCATCTAACAACAACAACAACAACAACAACAGTATTCTAAGTAAGATCAAGACAAGGTATACATTAGAAAGTGAATAGAAATTTTCTGTGAATATTTTAAATATTATGCTTCATAGCATTTTTGTGTTTGACACTGAAGCACATGCTGAGAATTTAGAGTTCTTGATTTTTAAGGTTTCAGAATAGCAGGGAAATAAAGACATATAATTAAATGATTTCAAGATCATATAAGAAGCGAAAAACTATCATTAATACGCACTTGTAATCAAATGCATGTGGCAGTGGCAAAGAGGCTTCCTAAAACTCATGACATTTGAACAAAACCTTGAAATAAGAACAGGAGCTCAGGGGCAAACCACTTCAGAACTGCCACACGAAGACCCAGGACGTAGAACGAATATACAGTAAGTGAGTGTCAGGGAAATGGCAGGAAACGAAGTTGGAAAAATAGGACAACCGAGTGTGGACGTCTTTTATGCCCAGCTAATGCGTTTGGAGTTTCTCTTATGTCAGTAAAAATCACTGAATAATTTTACGCATAGGTGTGATATGATGACAATTTCAAGAAAATAATCGTGTTGCCTCTATGAAGGACAGAGTCAACGAGGTGCTGGAATAGAAGAGAGATTTGGAATTTCTGCTTTAAATATTTGGATTTAGATGTGGCAATAAAAAGGAATCACCAGTTTCCAACGAAATGATTAAAAAAATCAAAGGGTATTAAATATATTTTGTAGAACAAAGGCTTAATGATGGACACGTCTTGTAGACTGAGAGGTTAGGATAGATCTCGAATCAGTGTAAAGAAAATTCCCGAACCTTTCTTGGAAAATCCATCAGCTTGCTTAGCATATGCTGTTCAGGGAACACCCAAAGAACGTGGTTAAATCTACAAGCACTGCGTTCATTACTTGTCTTTAATTAGCAATTTATTTTTTTCACATGAGTGACTTTTCTGGGACTGTATTGCCTTTTGTAACTGGAGGTTAACAATTAGCTAATAAGATCACTTCCGAGGAAATTGAGATATTGAGATAGCAGATGGGGCTACGCTTGGGGATGATAACAGTCCCCTTTAGTCGCACCAACAACTTGGACAGGAGGAAATAAGCTGGGAGCCCATTGTCGTTAGGATATGGGTGCTTTTTACTGTCAGTGTGATGGTGTACATGCACGCATGTAAACGTGCTCTCTTTTCCCCTTTGCTTTCAGCTACGACAGTGACAGCTGGTGCCCGCCTCTACCTGTACAAACCTACTTGCACCAGGGTATGGAAGATGAACTGGAAGAAGATGATGATAGGGTCCCAACCCCTCCTGTCCGAGGCGTGGCTTCTTCCCCTGCTATCTCCTTTGGACAGCAGTCCACTGCAACGCTTACTCCATCCCCACGGGAAGAGATGCAACCCATGCTGCAGGCTCATCTGGACGAGTTGACAAGAGCCTATCAGTTCGACATAGCAAAGCAAACATGGTAAATAATCCTCGTTAGGCCAGAGGACACATGCCTTCAACGGATGGATAGAGGAACTCTTTCCTAACATTAAATCTATAGGCCTATATTTCTACAGCTCTTTAATTCTTAAATATAAAAATTGGTGGGAGAGGGTTAAATAATTTGACATTTTCTACCTAGTCAGAGTTAACTGGGGCAAAAATTTACATTTGTCGCATATCTGGGTAAAGTGCCCTTGGATACACCAGACCTCTTCGAATACACAGTTTAGCTTCAATTTGCTTATACTTGAACTTGCTTCCAAATCCACACTAAGAGACTCCCTTCAGATTCTTCAAAGTGTCTATGATTAGTTCTGTGTGTGGCTGTGATTATGCCCATGTTAGCTTCTGCAAGTCACATGTGGTCAGGGTCAGTGATGAAAAACCCTTCTTTGGGTTGAATTAAATAAGATACACAAGAGTGGTAAAAGGAATGTATAAAAAGTAGAAAACATGAAAAAGGAAATTATTTTTCCTCATACATTTATAAGAGTTCATAACCTATCAACACCGAATTACACAGTTTCCCCATGAAAATATGACAAATATGAATCTGGCCAACTTTATATATATAGAGAGAAAGCTATATTCTCTCTTTTCTCAAATCATGACATAAAAATCTGACCTTTGAAAATGAAATTAGGTCAGACAAAAAGAAAGAAGAAGAAAGAAAATGAAATCTCAAGAAGATGCCTCTCAGCATCCTCTGTGGACCTTCTCATTCAGTTAAAGTTTGACAGAGTTGCATGCTCCTTTTTTGACGGTTTCATCAGAAAATATGGTAATTCTTACTCTCAATGTAAAGAAATTGTTTATTTTAAAAACAGCTAACTATATGCATATAGAGAAATAAACAAAAGGAAGACGGGAGTACTATTTAAAGCTCTTAGCTTTATTGCAAACAAAGGTGCTTTTGTTATAACCGTAGGTTTCTGAACATTTTCTCAACAATTTGTAATACATAGCCTCAAAAAGGTCAAAGATACCATATATACTCGTGTATAAGCTGAGTTTTCCAGCACATTTTTAATGCAGTTTTTGCGGTAAAATTAGGTGCCTCGGCTGATACTCGGGTCAGTGTATACCTAATTTTTCCGCAAAAACTGCATTAAAAATGTGCTGGAAAACTCAGCTTATATCAGACTGCTTTATAAAACATTATTATTTAAGCTGTGGTGAAACATTTTAGGAATCATGGAAGCTATTCCTTGTGAACATATAGAGCTCGGCAGGAGTAGAAAACCTCTCTTTTCCCCGAGGAGCTGGCTGGTTGTTTCAACCCTTGCTGGTCACAGGCCAGGGCATAGTCATTACATCGCCAGGGCTTCCTACACTCTGCTCAAGCCAGGTCTTTATCCCAGCCTGATGCTGTTGACTAGTACAGTTGAAAATACCCTCCAACATGGGATGAAAGCCACAAGCAGAGAGCCCAGGATTATAATACTTCACATAAGGAGTTAGTGCGGGAAGCACCTGTTAATTGACTACATCTCCCCTGTGTGTTCCATGGGTTCTAAAAGAGTAAACTTCCATACTACATAGGGAATGATATCGTTACGTTTTTGCATAAAATTGTCAACTTTAAAGAATTGTGTGAGACAAATATTCCTAATCTCCTTTAGATGATTTATTTTTATAAAAAGATGGGTCTGGATTTTGTCTCTGCTCTTCACCTCAGAGAATTCCTTGGTTGATCCAAATGATTAATGTGCTTTGTGGTGAACTGAAAGGTTGCAGGGTTGAGTCAGAGGTGCCTTGGAAGAAAGGCCTGGTGATCAACTTCCAGAACAAACCAGTCTTTGAAAGTCCAGTGAGGCACAGTTCTACTCTGCCACACATGGGGTCATGGGGAGTCAGACTTGTTGCCAGCAATTGACTAACTATTAGCCCATAAACCCAAATAAGAGTCAAAGAATCTATGTGTTGGGCCGTTGAAGCAAACCATTATGAACAAACTTTATGTCAAGGAATAAATTTGTAACAAGGAAGCAACCCAGGCCAGTACAGTCCAACTCAATTTGATGGGCTGGATACCAGCTGGATACCAGACTCATGCAGCTGCTGGCTGGTGAAGCAGGTAGGTGAAGTGGGAAGGAGAGATTTCAGGCCAGAGAGGCCAGAGCCACGTAGATCCCAACTCAACAAGAACCATGCAGAGTTCTATAGTACCCAGGGGAAGGAGGGCACAATGAGTGGCCCATCTCAGAATCCAAGGAAACAGGTCGATGAAGAGATGAGATGAGACAAGATGAGAAAAGTCCTACTTAACCTATCTTATCAAAAGGCCATGATATCAGGAGATATCAGTAGGCTGTGTCCTCAATAAGGTTGGACTCTGCCTATATTTTCACACAGGTGCATCAAGTTGACATAAAATCTAATCATCATATTCTATTATGATTTTCCTCTCTCTTTGGTGAGGCATATACAAGGGGACTTGAAAAAGTAAGTGGAAAATACCATTAATTGTTCTATGTTTTCACAATTTTAAAACTCTTTCATACGTATAGCCCATAGTTTCTACTGAAGTATAAAAATTACATAAGCTATGAAAGTAAGTAATGGAAAGAAGACAATCAGTTACCCTGATTCTGTAGCTAACATGCAGATTAATTCTAATTAAAACGCATTGGATGTTAATGGCTTACTTGTTTGTTTGTTTCATCTAAATTCTAGGCACATTCAAAGCAATAATCAACCCCCGCAGCCTCCGGTCCCACCATTAGGTTATGTGTCCGGAGCCTTGATTTCCGATTTGGAAACAGATGTTCCAGATGATGATGCTGATGATGAGGAGGAAGCTTTAGAAATCCCCAGGCCCCTGAGAGCCCTAGAGCAGACGCCGGGATCCAGCATGGACAATCTAGACAGCTCTGTGACAGGTAATAGAACCAATTTAATAAGAATAACTGTTTTGTAACATTAAAATGCATCAGAAATCAAATACTTTCTTATGTAAGATTTATTCCACTCCATCTCTTTCTGTAACATTTTAAATATGTTAATATTAAACACAACATTCAAAAAGGATTTGGAAATACTTTTGCTTTGCTGCAAAAATGATAAGGAAAATTCATGAATTTTAAAAAGCTTTAAAGACATGAAAGAAAATGCAATTATACACAGGGCTTTCATGAAAAGTTCACTCTACTAGGGAACTGAGTCTATTACATAAAAAGCCTTGACTTTTAGAAATGATATATTTTGTATATCAGGAGCAACATACAAAGTGCACACAATCTTAAAACAGGTCTTGCTATTTTGCTCTGTAAAATCATTCACGGGTGAAACTAGGCAGCAATCGTCAGGATGAGCCTCTCTAAGGTTGCACAGGCATTATTTTCAGAGTGGAGAGAATGTATCATGAGATAAGCCATGTATTTATGCATTTCATATTGCTGGATCCAAAAATTGCTCCTCTGCCAAGAAACATAGTTACTTTGACTATGTACTCCTTTTGGCTTCCTTTTGCCTGACTTAGCAAATAAAAGGCAGCATTTAGTAGTCTGCTATGATGATCTCACAAATGATAAACAACATATTTCTAAGAATTTAAATTGATCAAAATTCGGTGGGAAAAAATCAAGCTCAAAATGATTACAAATGAACATATAAATACATATAATTAATATTATCATGTCTCTTATATGACAATTCAGACATCCCACTCTCTGTCTTTAAGTTCATTATGACGCAAGATGACTGTGTCTGGCAAAGTAGACCTGCCTCATAGCATTTCCACTGCTGTCATCATCGTGGAACCAGACTGCCGCATCTTTCTTCTGTAGAGGGGCTGTAAGACACAGGCACTACAGTCTTAAAGGGCGGTGGTAATTCAGTCATCGAATTCTTCCCTCCTGGGAAGGCAGCCGTGCTCCTGAAGCACAGCCACTGAGTGGAATACCTGTCCGGGCAGGCTGTGTTTCCGTGATGATGCGGAACAGGTTTCAGTGTCGCTCCAAACCAAGACAGACACGGAATCAAGGCCTGGCAATGTACCTCTGAGATCAGCCAATGAAAACCTAATGTATCCCAGTGATCTCCTGGAAGCATGGGTTTGCCCTGAGAGGGGGCCCTGATGCCACAGTAGCTAACAAGAGCAACCACAATCTCAAAATCTAATCTTTACAGTCCATTTGGATCTTTGGGAAAGTATGGATACCTGCATTTCCTTGGGTGGCATTCGATAGTTCACCACAGTCCCACTTGATTTATTTTTACCTCAAGAGCTTCACCACTTTCACAGATTTCTCACTCGATGTTAAGTGTTAGAATTCTGCAAACACTGATAGAAACTGGTTTATTTCAGTGATGGAAAAAGTATCAGGGCTGATCGTTTTCTGCTGCATCCCTTCCTGAATTGCACTACGTGTAATAGATGCACTCCGTCTTCAGTGTTTCTTCTTACCCAGGGGCTGGAGTGTTCTGTAGGCTAATTAAGATTTAAGAACTGCAGATATGCTGCTGTGATTTGAAACCTAGATCCAACTGAAGGTGGCAGAGCAAAAGTTTAAAGCTTCAAATGAAGCGAGTTAACTTATTATGGGTGTGCTATTAAGTTAAGCCTCTTTGCCTGAATTTCTACTATAATCTCTGTCAGGGTGAAATTCTGCATATATTTGCATATCTCAGTAATGTTACTGAACCCTTTTCCATTAGAAATGTAGTAAAGAATTGCAATACCAGTGCACCAACAGTCAGCTAGAGTTTATGTAGTGCTTCCAGTAAAAGTTATCATGCCAAAGATGATAAGTATATCAATAAATGAGGAAAAAGGCATTTTACAGCCTTACAAGCTTACCTGTGAGTGGTAACATGTTAGGCTTTCTAATGTGACTAAGATTAAAAACAATCTTCATTTCTCTTGCAACTAGTATAATGTTCATTCCAAATGAAGCTTTTATTGCTAAGAAAACAAAGTTGCTTTCCTACTTGAATTCACTGCTTAATTACTGCCATACATAAAAGCCTCAGGGTGTTTCGGTGTGTATTATATGAATAATGTAAATTCTTAGTAAAACAAGTTGCACTCCATACAAGAGGAGTCTAATAGGAAATCCTTTTAATTTTATTTTCTTGCTCAAAAAAATAACTTTGTGGGGAATGCATGATTAAAGATTTAATATGCTTTCTAGGCTTAAGTATAATATGAATAAATAAACATAAGTTTAAAAGATATAAGTAAATTAATTTTCTGAGAAAAAGAAATGTGTTCGTGTATGTGTGTGTGTGTGTGTGTGTGTGTAAGTGTATGCAGAGTGTGTGAGTCCAGCCAAAAGGACTGTGTGAATGTATGTTGCATGTGTCTAGGAATGTAGATAGATAAGATATCTAAGGGAATATAGAATGTGTGTTTACAGGGGTAAGTTGAGATTGCCTGTAGGTGTCTATACGTATGGACTGGATGCTATAGAAGGCACAATGCCCATAAGTAACAATTTAAAGTGCTTCCATTTTCTTTATAAACGTAAGGCTCAATTGAATTGCACTAAAGGAACTGGGCAATAAAGCAGGCACAATCTCCATTGACTATTTTTTTAAGGTGCTAAGTGCCAACCCAAAACATTCCAATCTCATCAGAAGTTGCTTTGAGTTCCTAATTTCATTATGGTTTAAATAAATACTCACACTTTCACCTGACATTCCCAAATAGGCATTTACATTTTCAGAGAATGGATAGCCTTTTCTGGTCAATAGAATTAATAATCACGTTCCATCCCAAGAAATGTAAATGATAGCGAGACAGCATGTTAGTCCAATAACAGCAGTGGCAGCTAAAAGCCTGTATCTAAAATAATGCAAGTTATATTTGGCTCTTTGTACCCTAAGAATTACCATTGGGGATTATCAGCAGTTAACAAGGCCTCTAGTTCATCTTTGAAAACCACAAGCACAATGCCTCCCATTATTTTTTATAAAAGTCAAGTAAGACCAACCAAAGAGGAAAATGTCTGCAGTCCCTAGCCCATAACCCCAGTGATGGAAAGATATGTATCCTATATGTTAGGGTTGTTTATTCCTACCAGTCCCAGGATCCATTGAGTTAATTCGGGTTACTAGTGGTCACCCGAAGTGTGTCAGAATAGAACTGTTTTTGTTTTATTATAGTATTTACAGTGGGTGATTTTAAAAATCGATGGCCAGGTCTTTCTTCTGAGGCACCCCTGACTAGACTAGGGTCTCTAAGCTTTCAGTTAACAGGCAAGCACATTAAGGGCTTGAGCCACCCAGGGACTGATTTATTCCCACAAGAAACATTTACTTAGGGACTGTTGCTTCTAATTCCTGAGCTATGATTGTATTTACACTCAATGATAATAATAACTAGCACTTATCTAACATTTAGAATGTCAAAGGCCCTCTTTGAAACAGTGGTTTGCTTTTCCTATGGCCAAATGAGCTATGAAATTTACATTTAAAAAAAGCGGTGAGAGTGGTGAAACCGGGGAAGGAAGGAGAGTCTAAAGGGGGAATTGATCACAGGTATTTACATGTAACCTCCTCTCTGGGGGATGGGCAGCGGAGAAGTGGGTGAAGGGAGATGCTGGGCTGTGTAAGATAAGATAAAATAATAATTTATAAATTATTAAGGGTTCATGAGGGAGGAGGGAGCAGGGAGGGAGGAGTAGGGGAAAAAGGAAAATGAGGAGCTAATTCCAGGAACCCAAGCAGAAAGCGAATTTTGAGAATGATGAGGGCAACAAATGTATAAGTGTGCTGTGCAAAATTGATGTATATATGGATTGTGACAAGAGTTGTATGAGCTGCAATAAAGTGATTTTTTTAAAAGAATGTTTAAAAGTTAAGAAACAAATTAGTATAAATAAAGACTAATATAGGTCAGAGACAACAAAGCCTAAGCCATTTAGAATCTGGCATTTAAACACACACACACACACACACACATGTGCTTTCTACTACTATTCTATGCTTTAACTTGTATTAACAATTTTAATCTTATTCAAGCCTACCTTCTTCATACATCTTTAAATGTGTTGTTTCCACTGTAACAACTTGAGGAAAATATTGGCAGTGTTCAGGAAAATTGTAGAGATCATGCGGAAAGACATTGGATTGGTTTTGTATGGGAGCTCAACAGCATTGATGTATTTAGAAAAAAATGAAGTATTTGTTTCCAAATGTAAATGATAAATGGGGCAGTGTGTATTTGCAATCTTTCTGAGGAAAATAAGCTAGCAGGTGTCATGGAACATTTCTTTGTTAATTGTTTATTCTGCCTTGCACATGTAGCACATTTCTCTGTCTCTGGAGCATGGGTGGAATTGTTGCCTATGCAATATGTTTCAGTGAAATAGGGACTTCCATAGATTCAGCATGACTTCCATATCTAGGTAGTGGTCAATACTTGGATTGATTTGTCTAAAGACACTGATCACTGAAGATTTTACTTAGCAAATAGTTAGACAGATTGTACTTAATAAGAAGAGTGCCTGGATTAAATATTGGCTGAAAAAACGAGGGCTACGTAGCTAGGTTTTGTATCTCATAAAAATGGTAATGCAACAATTAGCAGGGTCATATTATAAAGCACAGGCTTTACTCTAGCTTAATGGATCTAAGGATAAGCATTTATCAGCAAAGAAGGATTTAGCATATAATGACATGTAAATGAATTGATGACTGATCATAAATTAATTTTAGTGCTGAAGATGTAATACAGACACAGCAAGATGCCAGTTTATCATGGTATTTTACTGCTCGGTACCATTTGAGCAACAATTTAATGTCCCGCATGGATGTCTTCTTTAGCCATCTAAATAGAATTGGAGTAATTTGGGGCCTTCCTAAACCTGAGAAAATTTTAAAACCTTGAAAATGCAAACACAAGTAAATCTGATTATGTGACATAAATTCATTTTTC